GGGGGGGGGGGGGGGGGGGGGGTTGTGGGGGTAACTTTGTGTCCCCCATCTTTGGTCTCTGTAGTGTTTGGGGAGGGGCACTGGGCGAGGGCAATTTTGGGGTGTCCCTCCCCACCCCAACAGCATCAAAAGGTAAAACCCACAAACAGCCCCCCCCCATAAAAACGGGGTCCCCCCAGCCTGGGGGGGCTAGGATGTCCCGCAGGGGAATGGGGGTGTCCCCCACCCCAAATCCACCCTGTGTCCAATAAATAAACCATGGGAGGGGCACCCCAGGAGTGTCAGGCATTAATTTTGGGAGTAGGGGCTGGGCCCCCAAACTCCCCTCATGTCCTTCCCAGTACAAGGGGGGGGTGGCAGCAGAGTCTGAGGGGGCTTTGGCGTGAAGCTGAGGTTTGGGGGGGTGCCCCCAGACCCCCTCAGTTTAAGGCAATAGCTTTGTTCTGTCAGTCTCTGCCCCCTTCCCCAAATTAGGAGGGGGGCACTCTGGGGAGTTCCCCCTCCCCAGAGCAAAAGGGGGTGCCCTGGAAGGCAGCTCTGAATGTTCCGTCCTCCGTTGGGGAGGGGCATTCGAGATCCCTCCTGAGCTGGGGGCAGAGGGGGGGGCTATGGGGATTTGGGGGGGCCAGGGGGACTGTCCTGGGCAGCAGGGGGGTCTGGGGGTGGGGGGAGGCCATCCCCCCCCACCTCAGTGAAGATTTCGGGGTTCTCCAGCATCTCCCGGATCAGGGGGGGCATCGGCCCTGGGATCTCTGTGCGCAGGGTGATAGCACGTTCTGCCCCTGGGGGAGCCAAAATGTCAACACCCCCTGAACTCGGGGCCCTAAGCCCCTCCTGAGAGATGGAACCCCCCTCCAAAAAAAGCTTCAACACCCCCTCAAATTCCAACACCCCCAAAACCTTGAACCCCCAAAACCTTGGACCTCTCCAAGACCTTGAACTCCCCCAAAATGAGCTTAAATCACTCGAAAACCTTGACACCTCCCCAAGAGATTGAATCCCCCCCAGAGGCCTTTAATCCCACCCAAAAACAAGCTTCAATGCCTTCCCAAGTTCCAACAGTCCCCGACTTTCAAAACCCTGCAAAAGCTTCAGCGCTTTCAAAACCTTGAATCTCCCCAGATAACCTTGAACACAACCAAAATGAACTTCAACCCACCCCCCGTCAAAACTTTGAAACACCCCCAGAACCTTCAACTGTCCCACCCTGAGAGTTTCAACTCTCCTGGTGCCAGGGGCAGGTTTGGGGGTGTCCTGGAGGGTTGAGGTGTCCTGGGAGAGTTTGGGGTTCACCCTCTTTGGTGGTGACTTTGAACAGCGTTTGGGAAGATCACTGTGGCTAGGGGGGTTTGGGGGTTCTGGAGTCCTGGTGGGATTGCTGCGGTTTGGAGGGTTCCCAGGGATCTGGGGGTTTCTCACCCTTGGTGCTGATGCCACGCAGGTCAGTGATTTTGAGCAGCATCCGGGGGAAACGCTGTGGCTGCCGTGGGCGCCGGCGCCGGGCATAGACCCGGAGAGCCTCGAGCAGCGGCTCCTGCAGCCGCTCCACATGCCGGGGCTGCTCCAGCTCCATCCGGTCTGGGAAGAGAGGGAGAGACCACCTGGATAGACACTGTCCCTGTGTCTGCACATGCCCATCTTCTGCCCTAGAGATCCCCGTGTCCCCCTGCTATCACCTCGTGTCCCCACCTCTGCAGCTGAGTGGCCACAACTCAGTCCCCTGCCCACCATAACCCTGATATGCCCCATGTCCCCCTGATGGCCCCCATATCCTCCCCCACAGATGAGGCAGATGACACTGAGCAGCCCTGACTCAGTCCCATGTCCCCATGCCCCCCCCATGTCCCTCTGATGTCCCACATGTCCCCACCCCCACAGATGAGGCAGATGGCACTGAGCAGCCCAGTCTCGGTGTCATCGAGCTGCAGCGGCAGAAGCTGCCCCGCGAAGGCAAACACAAGGTCAGTGAGTGGCCCAAATCCCGCGTTGTGCATCTGGGTCCGGGTCAGTGTCAGCCCATCCGAGAACGTCATCGTGTCCTGCTCCGGTGTGTAGCGGGTGCAGATCCGCAGCATCTGCAGGGCAGGGACCCAGAATCACCAAGGGGCACCAGAATACATCCAGGGGCACCAAAAATCCACCCAGGGTTAGCCCATCCCATCACTGTGTCCTGCTCTGGAATGTAGCAAGTGCAGATCCACAGCATCTGCAGGGCAAGGATCTCAAAATCCACCCAGGATCTGCCCATCCTGGAGGACTATCATGTCCTGTTCCAGCTCTGCCACAGGACAGACACAGCACTGAGGGGAGGTTGGGGTCAGGGACGCCCCAATATAGTCCAAAAACATCTTATGGGCCCCAAATTTTCCCACCAAGCAGTCCCCAAACCCACACAGACCATCCCAGGAGACCTCCCAGCCCCTCTCCAGGACATCTGTCTGTGGGGTGGTGAGGTCAGAACCACCCCAAGCCCCTTCAAGGAGGCCCCAACCCCCCTGAGGAGCCCCCAAACATCCTGAGCAGCTCACCCAACCCCTGGAGATGCCCAGCCCTCACCAGGATGTCAAGGCAGGCGGCCTTGAGCAGAGTGATCTGGTCAGCCATGCTGAGCCCTGTGAAGCCCGGGAGCCGCTTCGCAAACTCCACAATCTTGATGATGCACTTGGTGGCCAATTCGCTGAACTTGTCCCACAGCCCCAGGTCCAGCTGTACCCGGTGGTCAGCGCTTGAGTTCTGGGAGCACAGAGGGGGCCCCAGCTCTGTTAGGGGGATTGTTCAGGAGCCCCTGGGACCTCCTGCAACCTCACCACCCTGAACTTGTCCCACAGCCCCAGGTTCAGCTGCACCCAGTGGTCAGTGCTCAAGTTTTGGAGGGCATGGGCTCAGTTATGGGGGTTCAAGGTGTACTGGGACTCCCTGAGACCACTGGGACACTGTGAGACCCCAGTCTCAGTAACCCACAAGTCCAGCTGCCATGTGGTCAGTGCTCATTTTATGGGGGACACAGGCTGTTATGGGGGTTCAGGACCTGCTGGGACCACTGGGACCCCCTCTTCAGTGATCCCCAGGCTCTGGACTCAATGCCAGCCCCAGGTCCAGCTATCCCCTTACTCAGCACTTGAGTTTTTGGGGGTCAGGGAGTGCAGAGACTCTGCTCTGGGCTCCAGGGTCAGCATTGCTCCCATAAGTAACCCCCCAAATACCCCCCACAACCCCAGTGCTCAGTCCCAGTGCACCCCTCCCCCTGAACTTGTCCCCCAGCCCGCCCAGTGCTCAGCACTCGTGTTTTGGAGGAGTCAGGAGGGAACCGGGACCCAACTATAGGTCTGAGGGTTGGGGTTCCCCCCAAAGGGACTCCCCAAGACCACCTGGGCACAGAAACCTGGTGCCCCACTCTCCCTGAACATGTACCTCAGCCCCAGCTGCCCCCAGCGCTCATGTTTGGGGGGGATCAGGACAGAGCAGTGACCCTGCCCCAGATCCGAGAGTTGGGAAGAGGGTCGGGGTCCCCCCTCAGTCCCCCCAGACCCCCAGCCTTGCTCACCGTGGTGTACTTGCCCAGCTGGCCCAGAGAAGGGAAGGTCTCCTGGTGGGCTCTGCTGACCCTCCGCACCAGCTCAGCCAGCTCAGGGCTCAGCTCATCCCCCCCCAAATCCTCCTTCACCTCCTTCTTCCTCTTGTTCCGATCATTCTGCACAGCTGGGGGGTGGGATTTGGGGGGTCAGAGGCATTGGTAGACCCCCTTAGATCCCTCCCAGGTGGGGTTTCCTCCCCCCTCCCCCAAAAACCTCCCCAAGGGACAGGAACATCCCCAC